AGGGAGCTGACCAACAGGGGCCAGCAGACCTCTCCTGTTTCCCCCTTCTCCCCTCAGCAGTGGATCTCAGTGGATCTCCCTGTTCTGCTCCCAACTGTCTCTGGTGAGTCCACTCACCCCGTGCACCTCTGACCTGTACCCCAGTTTTTTGTATGCATAAATAATTAAATGTTCAATAAAAATAACAGCATTATCATGATTGTGGAAATTACTGTCCTTTTTTTCTGATATGAAAAACAACCATCGCCTTGCGTGGTTACTAGGCAACGTTCGTGGGACCAATTCATCCTCGAGGGTGAAGGGGGAGGTCGTGTTTTCCTCTGCCGTTCGCTCTGATGAAGAGAATGGGAACGCCGCTCGCGGCCATTTTTGAGAAGCTCACTGCGGTTTACCGTCTTGGACTAGACATTGCTCCCTCCCGCCGCCGCCGCCGCCGTGGTTGCTAGGCAACTCAAAGGGCGCCGCCATCTTTGAGCCGGGCAAGGTGTTTACTATAAAGGGACATGGTTGCTAGGCAACTCTCGGCACGCTCGCCATTTTTGAACGGGGCACAGTTGTTTACCAATTTAGAATGTAAAGGAGCGTGCCCTACAGGACGGTTTCTAGGCAATGCCCTGGCACGTCACCACCTTCTGTCCCGACTCCACGTCCAATACATGGAATCAAACAAGTGAGGGATTGTGGCGAAGGATGTTTTCCAATCCCGCTGGCCGCCATCTTTGCTAGGGGTGTCGTGGCTTCCGGCTGGGGCGGAAGGGGACCTTGGGGGAGGTGCTGGATCCGGCGCTGAGGGGCTGTTTGAGTTGGAAGAAGAAGGCGGGAATCGAATCTTCTTCCAGCCCACTGCCCATTCTCGCCTTCTGGCGGCTTCGGACAGCAGCTCAGTTCAGTGGAACCATCGTCATGCTCCAAGGCGGTCTCTGATCGTCCCCACGTGGGGACGCGGGGGCTTCCAAATGGGGGACGAGGGGACAGACGGCACCGTCCATCTGTTGTGCCTCGCCGCCTCCAGCGGGGTCCCCCTATTCTGCAGGAGCAGCCGCAGCGGCGCCCCCGCCCGCCAGCAGGTGGGGCCCTGAGCGCCTGGATCTCCGAGTTGAGAAGGGCATTAGGGGGTTGGCTCTGAGTTTTGAAGAGAGTAGGACTTGGGAGAAGTTTTAGTGTTCAGTCTGGAAGGTGTAGTGGACCAATAATTCTGGTTCCCTGGAGAGGAGGGTCCAGGGAATTTAGAAGAAGGGACCTGCGAACCCGGCTTTTGGGCCCCAATGGGGAGGGTTTTGGGGGCTGCTGTCTAACGCCTGAACCTTTCCCAAGCTCCCGTTCTCTGTCATCGGCTCTCTCAATGGAGTCCACATGTTTGGGCAGAATCTCGAGGTGCAGCTGAGCTCTGCAAGGACGGAGGACACGACCGTGGTGTGGAAAAGCTTCCATGACAGGTTTCCAAGCCGTAGCTTGTAGTGTGTGGGCCCGGGTGACAGTCCCAGTTGGAGATGACCCCAGGGCCTTTATGCTCTCCAAGGCCTGTTTCTAAGTGGGGTCTGTGACAAGCCAGTGACCCTCTCTGTCCCGAGAGGCCGGCGGGGCTAAGCTGACTGCCCCGTTTCCATCCTTCCTTTCCCGCAGCATCACTCTCATTGTCCTGTCATCTGAGGAGGGCACCTCGGAGCTGAGGCTGGAGAGACTACTCCAGATGGTGTTTGGGGCCATGGTGAGACTCCCCCACCCTTTTCCCAAACCCAGAAAACCAGCCCCTTCCTCCCTAGGACTAGAGCCCAGACGCCCAGCCCCTCGGCCTTCAGAGGCATTTGTCTGGGTCTCGGCCCCTCTTCTTCTAAAACCAGTTGTCATATGTCCCACTTTTCTAGGTTCTTCTCGTGGGACTTGAAGAACTGACCAATATCCGCAACGTAGAGAGACTGAAGAAAGAGTTGAGGGTGAGGCTTCAGACCGTGAGAATGGG